CGGGGAGTGACAGTTGCCCGGAACCACACGTGTTTGTGAGTGTGCGTGGGCAGAGGGCTGGAGGGCCTCAGGAGGCGGGCACTGACCCCTGTGGCAAACCCGTGTTCATGCCAGTCCTGACTGGCATGCTATTCTCAGGGCCAAGCCCAGGTGTGTCCCTGGTGCCAACTCCAGGGCTGATCTCAGCTCTGACCCTGGCACCAACGTCTACCCCTGGTGAGGGGTGAGCAAGCTGTTCCCGCATCCCCTGCCTGGTTGAGGCATGTGGTTCTGGGCAGCTGTGACTCAGGGGCCTGGGCTGGGGGTGACCCCGACTTTCCCTCTCCCTTTCTCCCTCTCTCCCCCAGATCTGCATTCAAGTGGTGGCCCGGCGGCCCCACAGCCTCAGCTCAGAACTCACAGGCACCTGCAGCCTGCTGGCCTCCAACCTCAGTCGCCAGGCCCTGGTCTCTTTCAACGACATTGGTAAGGATACTCGCTGGCCTTGGGCAGCTCTAAGGAGGTTTCCTTGAGTCTCTAAGAAGGGGCACCTGCCCATGGAAGATACGGAAGGACACAGGCCCAGAAAGGGCAAGTTGGGCCTAGGCCCGCCGTGGGCTAAGTGTGGGCTTACCCCAAGCTGAACAAGGAGGCTGTCTGACTCTGAGCTCTTTCATGTGTATTTTTAAAGAAAATCTCCTGGATCCTGAGGCACATGCGGATGCTGGAGACTGCTACAGGAACAAAAAAGGCAGCACTGAGAATACAGCCAGGCAGCGCCGGGATCTGAAGGCCAAAGAGGAGGAGGAGGAGGAGGAGGAGGAGGAGGAGGAGGAGGAGGAGGAGGAGGGAGCTGGTGAGAAGAGGCAGATCTGGGTTGCTCTCTGAGGCTCTCAGAGCTGATGCCTAGGCTGGCAACTTCAGGGGTGAGAGCTGCCTAGGTCTGGGAGATGGGGAACAGTGGCTGGATTCTACTGTCTGGATTCTACAGGCCTGACCACCCCCAGCTCTGCCCCCCTCCATCTTACTGATGGGGAAACTGAGGCCCAGAGAGTGGGAGTGATGGGAGTGGCTCGCAGAGTCAGAGCCTGAGCAGGTCCTGGCTCTCTCGCAGCCTCTGAGACAAGGCCTCGCTGTTGGGAGCTTCACCAACTTCTTCCCTGAACTGAGCCCTTGGGGCTTGAATGGGGTGGGTGTCCTATAGGGCAGGACATGCCACCCTCACACCTGCCCCAGTTCCATGCCCACTCCGGACCTGCTCCCTGTCTTGGCCCAGGCACCGAGATCGCCATCGTCCTGGATGGCTCGGGAAGCATTGATCCCCCCGACTTCCAGAGAGCCAAAGACTTCATCTCCAACATGATGAGGAAGATCTATGAGAAGTGCTTCGAGGTGGGCTTCCCTAGGAGCTAGACGCACACAGTCTGTTGCTATCTATCGCTATGAACAAACCACCTCGAAACAGCTACCATTGATCTGCTCACAGTTCTATGGGTCAGCTATTTGGGCTGGGCTCAGCTGGGCGGTTCTTCTGCTGCTGGTCTTGCCTGAATTTTTTCCTGCAGCTGCAGGTGTCTGGTTACTTGACTGGGACTGGTTGGCCTCACTTGTCTGGCCATGTGTGGTCAGACAGCAGGTCAGCCCAACGTTTTCATGGCTGCAACATTCCAAGAGGGCAAGGCCTAATGCACACAAGCACTTTTCATGTCTCTGGTTTTATCCCATTTGCTGATATCCCAAAGGCCAAAGAAAGTCACATGGTGGCTACGAAGGGGAGAGGGCGTACACATGGATGTGGGTTCAGGGAGAAGTCTGCGATCCACTGGGAGCTGTCACTGTCACATCTCCCTCTGCCTTAGCACCTCCTCTTGCCTTCAACAAGAAGGAATGAGTGGATTCTTCCTCAGCGTCCAGGGGGAGCCATTCAAGGGCTTTGGGCATGGCCACTCTGCCAACCTCCTCCTCCTCTGCCCCTCCCTCCAGTGCAGCTTTGCCCTGGTGCAGTACGGAGGCGTGATCCAGACTGAGTTTGACCTTCAGTACAGCCAGGATGTGATGGCCTCCCTCAGCAAAGTCCAGAACATCACTCAAGTGAAGAATGTCACCAAGACAGCCTCTGCCATGCAGCATGTCCTGTGAGTATGAGGGCAGCGGGAATTACCTGAACACCTACTGGGTGCTGGCCGGCATCCCTGCCTAGAGGCTTTGAGGCGTCATGCCTGGAGAGGTGGCAGGACAGAACGGTAAAGAGGAGAGGATCAGGGTTCTAGCTCCTCCTCGGTTGAAAGGAGAATGTGAGGTCTTTCAGTCCAGCCTTGGCTGATGAATGACACCCCAGGACAGTCCTCCAAAGAGCCTCCTGAGGACCCCTCTTGAGAGTGGAGCACAGAGCAGACCGTGGGGGGGCTCAGTGGCCGGGCTGCCTGGGTCCACATCCCAGCGCCCGTCTGTACCTGGAGACCTGGGTGCCAGACCTCTCCGTGCTTGGTTCTCACGTGTAAAATGGGAATAATAATAGCCCTTGCCTTAGAGCAGTGGTTCTCAACCTTGGCTGCACATTAGAATCACCTGGGAATCTTTTTAAAATCCTGATTTCTGGCCCTAACTGGTTTGGCTCAGTGGATAGAACATCAGCCTGCGGACTCAAGGGTCCCAGGTTTGATTCCGGTCAAGGGCATGTACCTTGGTTGCAGGCATCCCCAGTAGGGGGTGTGCAGGAGGCAGCTGATGGATGTTTCTCTCTCATCGGTGTTTCTAACTCTCTATCCCTCTCCCTTCTTCTCTGTAAAAAATCAATAAAATATATATTTTTTTTAAAAATCCTGATTTCTGGGCCTCATCCTCCGGAAATTCTGTTTCTTTGTTACTAATGTTGTGGCCCCACCCCATAGCAAAGAAACAGAATTTCCGGAGGATAAGGCCCAGGAGTCAGGATTTTGAAAAGATTTCCAGGTGATTCTAATGTGCAGCCAAGGTTGAGAGCCACTGCCTGAGAGGATTCTGTGAGGATTAAATGGGTTAAAATACATACAGTGCCTATAAGAGTGCCTGGCACATAAGTGCTCTGTAAATATTAGCCTCTGTTCTTAATGTCATTGTTATTCCCACACACATCTATTCCCTGTGCTGTCCAGCACCTTTCTGTTGGGAGCAGGTGCCCCACCTCCACCCAGCCCTGCTGGGTCCCCACCCCTCTTGGGGCCCTTGTTCCCCTGCGAGGGCACCTTAACCCTCTCCAATTCTAAAACAGGTTTGTGAATAAAATCTCCCCAAGCTCAGCCATCTCTCTGGCCAAGTCCTCCACTTCCTTTACTCTCCCTACTTAGAGACAACATCTTCTCACCAAGCCACGGCTCCAGAAAAGAGGCCTCCAAGGTCATGGTGGTGCTCACCGATGGGGAGATATTCATGGACCCCCTCAGCCTCACGACTGTCATCAACTCCACAAAGATGCAAGGCGTTGAGCGCTTTGCCATTGGGGTAAGGGCCAGGAGCAGGGGGCGCCTCCTAAGTCTCTGTAGGGGAGGAGCCAGGGTTCCTGGGAGGGGCTTCTGTAAGCAGCTTACCAAACCCTGTTCTGTGCACACTCACCAACGTTTCTTCCCGCCTCACGTCCCGGGCAGCACACCCACTCCCACAGAGGCTCATTTCCCCAACGTGGTCACAGCTCACTTGCTCAGCAGCGATGGGGAGAGCAGCGGCAACTCCGGGAGCCCACATCAGGGTGGGGTGGGGGGTTGGTCCTAGAGGAGATGGTGGTGAGCTGAGCCTTGGAGGACAGGCAGGAGTAACTGGCCGAGGGTCCAGGGGAGGAGGGGAGAGCGCTGCAGGCAGAGGGAACAGCGTGTGCAGAGGTGAGAAGGAGCCTGTGTGTTCAGGACAACACATGTAGACTGGTAAGACGACGGTGTGTGTGTTTGGGGGAGAACAGGGAGCAGGGAAAGTAGGGGGCAGGAGGTGGAGGCCCTGAAGGCCAGGCGGCGAGGCCGGCTCTCTCCCTGGGCCTGGAGAGGCCTCGGGGCTCAGGAAGCAGCCAGCTCTCAGGTGTGGATCCACGGATCCGGGGCCTCTGTGCAGGTGGGAGAGGCATTTACGAAGCCTAAGACTGAGACGGAGCTGAAGCTGATCGCCTCGCATCCTCCGGAGACTCATGCCTTCAAGGTGACCAACTACGCGGCGCTGGATGGGCTGCTGAGCCAACTGCAGCAAAGTATCGTCCTCATGGAAAGTGAGGGCTCCAGGGTCCTCGCCACCCTGTGCTGCCTCCTCGGCATTCAGCAGGAGGTCTGAGCCCTGCCCTCCAGCCCCACCCCGGGGCTCCTCTTGTGACTCTCAGGGCAACTCCCGTCACCTCTTTGAGCCTCGGCTGTTCCATCTCTAAAAAGGCGACCGTATCCCCAGGCCTCTGCACTTCCTGAGTGTCCACCCAGCTCTGATGAGCTGGCCTGGTGCTGGAGAAAGAAGAATGACAGGCGTGGAGACCCAGGCCCCGAAGGAGGGAGGGAACTGCCCAGGCTCTCGTCCGGTAGCTGCTAAAGCAGGACCCACATCTCCACTCTCAGCTTGGTTCTGTTCCCATCACACCAAACCCAGTTCCGTCTGGGAGCGAGGCCAGGCTGGACCCTTCCCTGGCTTGGTTGCTCCCTCCACCCTGCCCAGAGCAGTGTCTCACTGGGTGTCTTGGCTTCCAGGCACGGTCGGAGAAGCCCTCCACTTCCAGCTGGCACAGGTCGGGTTCAGCGCCCAGATCCTGAAAGAGGTATGTGGCCAACTCAGCATGGAGGAGGGCCCAGCAACACCCAGGGACTAGGGGCCCTGGGCCACAGAGCAGCTCTGCCTCCTGGTCATGCCTCTGAAGGAGCCACGTTAGGATAACGGAAAACTTCCGCTTATCTGGGACCCTGAGGTAGACAAAAGAATGGCCACATTCATCCCGGGGGTCGTCTTGTTCTGTGTGTTCAAGGATTGAGCTGTTCTTAAAATACATACTAGGCCAGTGATGGCGAACCTTTTGAGCTCGGCATGTCAGCATTTTGAAAAACCCTAACTTAACTCTGGTGCCGTGTCACATACAGAAATTTTTTGATATTTGCAACCATAGTAAAACAAAGATTTATATTTTTGACATTTATTTTATATATTTAAATGCCATTTAACAAAGAAAAATCAACCAAAAAAATGAGTTCGCGTGTCACCTCAGACACGCGTGTCATAGGTTCGCCACCACTGCACTAGGAGCAGGCTTTGGCCTGGGCCAGCTCGCCAAGTTGCCTACTTCTCCCCACCAGAGGCACTGTTCCCACAGGTGGGCCGAGATGCAGGCACGGAGGGCAGGGCATGGTAGGAGCACGGTTAGTTAGGACTGTCACTCGGCCCAGGCTGGGCAACCTGGGAAGAAGGAGACGAGCACTCTCTTCTCTGTCTCCTTTGAGTGCTTCCTTCACGCCTGGGCCAGGATGGCTTCTGCTCTGGGGTTGGTATTAGAGGGAAGGGTCATGGGTACAAGGCAGGAACCAGTGTTTGCCATCTCACCTTCCTCCTGCATGGCTGGCCAGGTGGGCCTGGGGCCACGGAACACCCCTGTTCCCCCACAGCACAAGGTTCGCTGTGCTGGCAGTAGACCCGAGGTCACAGCGGCTGACCCCGGGCACCTCCAGCTCAAATGGCCTCCTCGTCCCCTGCAGGAGCAGCTGCTGCTCGGTGCTGTTGGGGCCTTTGATTGGTCCGGGGGCGTGTTGCTCTATGACAGGCACAGCTGCCGGGGCCAGTTCCTGAACCAGACGGTGGTGGACAGCAAGGCTGGAAAGCACAGCTACCTGGGTGAGGGCGGGGCCCGGAGACCACCTGGGTGGGG